GTCCATAATTGCATTTCAACACATATAACGGAATAGGTCAATGACCGTTGACGATTTAAATTCATATTTTGTTTAAATGCATTGAATAGTAATTGACTAATAATTCACTTGTTTTATAAGTTGTATTGGTGAATGAGCAGGCCCTGGTCGACGGTGACCATTTGCGTTGAGGTACTGCCGCCGTCACCATGGTTCTTGGCACCCCCATTGGTGGCGGTTGCAGTTCCATTCTTACTCGTGGTAGACACGAGTATTCATGGCCCTTGCAAGTGGCGTATTCCGTCGCACCTCAACGCAACTGGAGGAGTGCAACACATATTCCTACGCTCATTCCATTGTTTATCCTATTGCACATGTAAATTGAAATTCAGGATTTGAATTTGTGCATTGGCTTGTAATTGACAAGCAGTTGACTTGATTGATATTGAATTGATTGATTGAATGATGATTGATTGATTGAACTTGATTGATTATTGATTTATTGATTGAACTTGATTTATAATTGAATTGGTGACGTTCATGCACTTGTGACCTACCCAGTGCATGATCCGCCCGATTTGGGTCGTCACATTTGTTGTATTGATTGTTTATTGTGGGGCAGCCCTGTGGTAGCCCCAGCAAATTGATCACCGCGGCCAGAAGCGCCACATTAAACAAGCAAAATAATATCTGTTGTTTGTTTGATTAATAGGGAATCTGTAATAATACCACTTATACGAGCCTGGTCTCGGATAAGTGAGTTTATTTCAGTAACCCTAGTAATATTTATCTATTCCGGATAAGTTACGTACATTCGGATAAATATAAATTTTCACCCTTAGTCACAAGCTATCATTCCGGATAATTTAGGTCCATTTGTATATAGTCTAATAATAAGTTCTTTTCTACCTCCTTTCTAGAAGAATCAATTAAACGGTAAGGTCATGGAAAATTTTTGGGAGTTAAATTGTGGCAATGTTTTAAATTTTACCCACCCACCCTCCTCTTGTTTTTAGAACAAATACTGCTGCTTTTTGTTATGTCATTGTAGCTGAAGACTGCCTGCTTCGCCCAGCTTCCACAACAGCCTATGTCGCGGTGGTGGATTATGTGTGTTTGGATATTATATGTACGTAGGGACGGCTTGCTTGGTCCAGCACCTACATCAGCCCATGTGCCGATGGTGAATTTTGTGTGTTTGCTCATTCCGTAAATACAGCCTGATTGGTCCAGCGTCCACATCAGCCTATGTCAAGGTGGTGAATTCTGTGTGTTTACGTATTCCGTGATGACTGCCTGCTTGATACAGCGTCCACTTCAACCGATGTCGCGGTGGTAATTCTGTGTGTTTGCGTATTCCGTCGCACCTCAACGCAACTGGAGGAGTGCAACACATATTCCTACGCTCATTCCATTGTTTATCCTATTGCACATGTAAATTGAAATTCAGGATTTGAATTTGTGCATTGGCTTGTAATTGACAAGCAGTTGACTTGATTGATATTGAATTGATTGATTGAATGATGATTGATTGATTGAACTTGATTGATTATTGATTTATTGATTGAACTTGATTTATAATTGAATTGGTGACGTTCATGCACTTGTGACCTACCCAGTGCATGATCCGCCCGATTTGGGTCGTCACATTTGTTGTATTGATTGTTTATTGTGGGGCAGCCCTGTGGTAGCCCCAGCAAATTGATCACCGCGGCCAGAAGCGCCACATTAAACAAGCAAAATAATATCTGTTGTTTGTTTGATTAATAGGGAATCTGTAATAAATATATATATATATATATATATATATATATATATATATATATATATATATATATATATATATATATATATGAATACTCATTCTGAATTCTTATTATGAAGGGGCTTACATTTCTCCCTGATCAACAACTACATGTATACGACAAATTACCTGTACAAGGTAAATGTTCAATTAATACATGTATAACATTGCAACATGCAGTTGTCCTAATATATTTGTATTATCAAATGTTTTCTTGATATTGCAAATTCAGTATAGATAAGTCACGCACTTTTAATGTTAATTTCTGCACAATTAAGCTTGACAATATGCTTCAATAATTCACATTTTGTTCCTGTTCAGAAACCCTTGTTGTAACCCCTAATGTAAAACTAGGGGTAATTTATTAACAGTAAAAATATGAATTCAAAAGAACACAAAATTAAAAAAAAAAAGCCTTGATCTTAACGCCTTTTTGCATTATGGGTTGATAAGTTGTTCACAAATATCTTTCACAATAAAGGTTGTCTAAGATTAATGTTGAACAATACAGACTTATAAGAAACTTTCACTTTAGTTTAGTTTTCTTTTTTGATTCAGTGGTTCCCTTTGTTTATATGATCTTAAGCAAGTTTTAATATACATACCTACATGTATTTATTAACTATACCCCCATGGAAACGATCGTCACCTTCACTAGCAAAAAAAAAAAAATAATAATAATTCCCTTTTTCTTAGGATACGTTGTGCAATTTAACAGAAATTGGTCCAGTGTTTTTGGAGAAGTCAAAAAATAAGAAAAGTTATCGGACGAAAACTAACGCACGAAAGACGAACTTTGATCAGAAGAGGAACACAGTACCACTCAGTATGGCAGCAGCATCCACAGACGTAATGTCTATTGTGATTTAACTGTAAAATTATTATTTATATATACGGGAATTTATTTTATAAGACTAACAAAATTACTCTAGAATGTAAATACTTTTTTGACTGACATAATTCATACCAATTGTTTTTTTTAAATCAAAACAATACCTTCAAATGGCTTTCTTGTCTTATAACCACTTTTTTGAATCTGATTTCAGGCCACTGTTTGTGTACTGATACATGTACGAAGATGGTGGAAGGATATGTCTACTATATCGCCTAGGAGTCGTCCAGTGCTTTGTCATCCGTACTTAGTCCATCATATTCCGGTTGCTACAAATTTTCTATGCAAACTTGAAAAAGTTCTGTGGTTTCTATTGAATATTATTCCCAACCTATAGAATAAATTTTTATATATTTGTTAATCTAATCGTAGCATTTATATACAAGAAGAAACAAAAATATTTTATGTGTTCTAATTTTTCACAAACCCTTCCACAGGGACACCCTGCATACCTCGTACAAACTGCCCTATCAGGCTATGGTCAAGCGCCGCATACGGTGTCAGTTCTTGTCCTGATTTTTTTTCTGAATGCAAACATAAAGAATACAAAGACTAAGAAGTCAATTCATCTCTGTGTTGAATTGAGGTTTTTTCTGGACCCAGCCTAGCATCAGGAGGTATGATATAAACGATTAAGAAAGCACTCCACATAAGAGTGCTAATATATTAAGAATTATCTCAATACAATTAACACCAGCACCATCTTTGAAACAAATATTAACATATATCGATGTGTATTCTTTAATTTATTTTTTAAAAAATCTTACCTTTCATTCGATGCATAAAAAATATTTTTCTGCTGATTTAAAACATTAGACGGCATTTGTAGAATTTGTAAATCTTTCAACTACTAGTATACTTCATACAAGTAACAAGTATTCTTTGTAAGAAGGTGTGCCGTTTTCAATTGAGTATCTTCATTCGTCAACAGAGACCGACATACAAGTTTCTGAATAACAATATCCGTACGTTACAGGAAAGGAGAAAGTGTACGGCTGGACCTGAAATTGAACCCGGGACCCCTGCATCACAAGTTTGGTGCTCTACAAACTGTGCTACCACGGCCGATATCCTCGGCCCATATCATTACATTCCTCCTTCCTTAAATCGTTTTCGCCCCCGAAGGCACAACCCAAGTTCTTATTTGCCCCTGGCAGGACTTTCACCTGCAAGTCCAGGGGTGGTCAACGGCACGAAATCTAACAGAATAATGTAGAAAATGTACGGATGGACCGGGAATCGAACGCAGGACCTCTGCATCATTAGTCAGGTGCTCTACCGATTGAAATACCCATGCCGATACCCACGGCACAAACCATTACACATCTATTGACTGGGTTTGAGGGCAAAACGGGTTTTTTTCCTAGAGACCCAGTCAATCCTTTACTATTTTTTTTATTTGGACATATTTTGCGCTGACTTTTATGTTTTGCGACATTTGATGTAAGTTTCGTTTCCAGCACTGCAGATTTAACTCGGTCAATTTCGTAACTGTCGAACACCAACGCATGCAAACAAGATATGGTATACTGATCCCGCTTACAGTGTGACGTAAAAAAGTCATAGCGGTCCAATATCTCATCGGCAGGTCCAATATCTCACTCAGCGGTTCAACATCGATTTTTTAACCGTTCACGATAACGTTTGAAATGTTAGACTTTTTAGTACAGAGTTATAGTAGAATAGAAATTTTGTTAAACGTTTAACAATAAACCTTTAATTTTTTAAAACAATTTTTTTTTTCTCTATGGGAGGAATTTTGCATTTATCTATTTTTAAAGCAGGTGTAAAGGATAAATTTTCTGAAATATGCGTTCCTAGTACTCTACTATTATAATCGATGTGTATTTACAAACAAATGTGATATATGCGTTCCTAGTACTCTACTATTATAATCCATGTGTATTTACAAACAAATGTGCTAGCTACTTATCATATGATTACAAATCAATGCAGTATAAAGGCTATGTTAATCAAAATGCAATATATTTTTCCATGTTCCCGTTAAGTGGACCGTAGTAGATTATGTTCAGTGAAATCAAGCGAGATTTATTCCCTTAAAGACAATTTTTAGCATAACGACTCCTGATTTTGGACTCCTATACGAAACACAGTCGTTAGAAAAACTGTCCAGGATACGCAACTGAAGGCAAGTATTTTTTCCAATGAAAGGTGGTTTTAGTTTAACAAACTTATAACTGTTTAGTTAAATAATTATCCTATGTCCACAACTGTCCATAAGTAGTCTGAGTGGAATTTATTACACAGATAATTTTAAAGTTAATATTTCAAACATACCTAGGTAAATGAAAATCACCCTCCATGATGAATGTGTGGAAATGGGTTCTACACCTTGCATTTATCTTCTGTGTGATAACATACTGCTCCTGCCTCGTTTATGAAGAGGGTATGCCCAAATTACTACAACATTGCTTAACACAGACGAGCCATGTAAAGGGTAACATTACACGAGACACTGCAGAAGCTATCCATTACTTGTGTACAAAAGAATATCTCTTTAAGACACCCGAAGAAAGATGGCATCCAGATCTTGATCACGTGGTTAATACCGATAGTCTGCATGAATTTGCAATGCTCTTCAAAGAACTTGATGTTGAAGAAAATGATAGTCATAGAGTGCATTACAAATACTCAAGTATCAAAAAGCATTTTGTAAGAGTCAAGCGTAAGGGACCAATCGTTCGAAAGGAATACAGACAGCTGACAAAAAAGGAGAGGACAAAATTTCATAAGGCTTTGAAAGCAATGAAGGCTGATACGAGTGATCCCGTAAGAACTTGATTCATCAAAATAATTCACTATCTTTTTGTTAATACTTTTTTTTAAATCAGTCTACTTTTTAAAAACCATCTCTTGCTTTACATTTCAGAAAAGGCAGCCAAATGTGTATGATTGGTTTTGTAATCTTCATCCTAACAAAGTAGCCCCGAACGCTCACTATGGACCAGCCTTTTTAGGTTTTCATCGAATCATGTTGTATCTGTACGTATTTATATCTTAGTTTTCATCTTTTTATGTAAGTACTCGAGGTAAATTGAAGTTATTTTTTTATTGAATGAGCAAGAATATTTTTTTAAATGAATTACATGTAGGGGGTACTGTATTTCAGCAGTTTCAAAACATTTTTGATGAACTGAGAATGTTTAAAGAAAAAGACATTATAGAAAATGTTTAAAGTCAGTCAGTAAAATTTAGGCGGTGTGTACATACAGATATCCCTTTGCAGATTCGAAGAAAAACTGAGATCATATGATCCAGACGTGTTTATTCCATTTTGGGATTCAACGTATGAAAGCATTCTGGACACACCAACAGCCAGTGTCATTTTTACCGAGGATTTTATGGGATCAGGCACGGGAACAGTGGTAGACGGTCCTTTCAAAAACTGGAAACACGACACTGCTGGTGTCCTTATCCGAAACATTGGTAACAGCGGACAGCTTTTTGAAAGAGAAAAATTAGACAAAATGATGATGAAAACTTACATATCAGAAATTACCCAACCTGATGCCGAGTTTGATGTGAATCTGGAAGCCATGCACGGTCAGGTGCATGCATGGATTGGAGGTTCCATGGATAACCTGGACTATTCACCTTCAGAACCTCTTTTCTATTTACACCACTGCTATGTAGATGCGTTGTGGGAAAAATTCAGGGATAACCAGGTACAACGTGGCGTAGATCCAACATCTTACCCTGATGTTACCGGTGGTCATGGTCCAGATAAGCCAATGAAACCATTCTATCTAAAAGTCAGAAATGGAAAGAAAATATACTTGAAAAACAAAGTCGGTTATGCTCTGAAATGGTCCCAATTAGTGCAATACCAATATCCAAAGAGAAACTGCAAGACTAACAGTGACTGTGGGTCAGACGTTATGGTTTGTAGAGATGAACAATGCATGACTATGACTGCACATGAATACGAGGTTTCAAAGAGGCCAAAACCTAAAAGGCACAAAGTGGCTGCTTTACCAATTCCAACGGAACCTCCAAAGCAGGAAGAGGATTATCTGCCGGGTTGGAACAGTTGGTTTGGCTGGAGAAGAAAGAGAAGCGTTAGTTACATTCACAGACATTATCGATATCCCTACAGGTACATTACTAGTCATCACTTCAACACAAAAAGGTATCTACGGAAGTTCTACAGACGCCAGAACTCCAGATCCACAACAGCAGTGAAATACAAGTATTCTGATGAAAAGACTTCTCCTATATATCACTCATTTCAGAATACCTTTACCATCGATGGTGTGGAGGATACATCCAAATGGGTTTATATTCCCATCATAGTGTATTACAGAAGACCAATCGAGGTACACTATGATGCCCACCCAATAAAGCATGGTCATCCTGTTATGAATAAGGATGTTTTTAACCAATATCATGACGCTAAATATATTACTCACAAAGTTGGAAACCCTGCAAGAAATCCAAAATGCATACATATCGGTTCGGGTGCAACCAAAATATACGTTAAAGCTACTGGTATCAATTACAACGGATTTTATACTGACTATGCACTTGTTGACGAACGACAACCCTTGTCCTTTTCTTTGACCGATGTTGGAGTGAGGAAACCGGTTGGTAAAACTCCCTCTAAAGTCTATATCTCGGCCCATGATCCATGTGGACGTAGTTGCAAACCTCGCTGTCTTGTTGCAGGTTCAAATCCACCACGATATAAAAAATGTACAGGGACTCTAGGTGTCACAGACCATGGGCCTCTTATGTATAGTTCTAATATCGGTGATGCTCATCTAAACACTTATGACTTCTCCACTCTCCCGCCTACTTTGTCCAATAAAAAAGTCTTTCTTGTTTTCTATTGTGACCAAACAGAGGCTTGGCCCTGGGATTGAGAGAAAAGTATTCAAATGTATAGGAATTATACTGACTTATCAAGAGTATTGATAGGATGAATTGAAAAAATATCTCTTTGGCTAACAATAAAATAAATTGAAAATGAAATATTTTTTTTTCTTTCCTCTACGTTATTCGTTTAAGGGAGCTCTAAACACTGCACACTAAAGAGGTCTACTTGTAGGGTAGTTTTATGCAGTTAGAGTGATCCGCCCTTAGAAGTAAGATAGAAAAAAAGGTTATTTACTTTTAATTACACAATTTATAATAGATTAAAACATTCTTAGCATTATATTAGAACAAGAATAAGTAATTAAATTCTTTATTTCCATTGATTTTTCCACTGTAAGTAAACAACAGTGATTTCTGTTCATTAATAGTCCATTGTCTTTGATCACTTTTCCTGTGGAAATAAGGCAGGTACCCTATGTTGAAAATGAAGTAAACAGTCTCAATATGCACACCTTTATATGATATATTTTTCTCCAAGCCCAAAAAGCACTTTTTGTTAGTGTTTAGAGCTTCCTTAAGGGTTAATTCTCTTTGTGTAGCTACGCTATAACTTTTCATTGAGTACCGGATCTCAGGTTTGACATATTGTCTTACTTGCAACTTTATTTACAATTAGTCACATAAAAATAATTGTTTTATATCTCGGTATAAAAGAGTGATCCCGAGCCAAAATAGTTTAGAATAACGATGATCAAGCCAAACTGAAAGGTCAGATTTTGTTCTGATTAGAGTTTAATCTAATGTACATTTATTTACGTATACTTCGGTAACTTCAAGAATTCAACAAACTTATTATCAAGATATATCCAACTGCAAGTAAGTTTGTATACTTGCACACATTTTAAATTCTTTTTTTACTGTAAGTTTGAAACGAAAATTGTATTACAGTAAAAAATATAACAGTATACTGTGAATTCACAAATTTTCGTGCAGATTTAATTTTCGTTGATTTCATGGTGTAAAGCGACCCACGAATTATGGCCCCCACCAAATGTTACAATTCTATACAACAGTATTAAGTCAATCCTTCACCTACGAAATCAAATCCCCTCGAACCAATATTTTTTCTTTAAACCAGGAAAATCTGAACCCACGAAAATAAGTGATTTTACAGTAAATGAAAATAAAGGTTTGAGTTATAAAATGCACTGTAAATTAAGTGAAATTAACTAGGTAAAATGGATCATTATGACAGCTATAGAGATTATGATAAACCTTTAAAAATTATTTCTTATATAAATCTATACTGAAGAAAATCTAACATTTCCAATGTTTTTCTGAGTGGTCTAAATTAATCCATGTTGGTCCGCTGAGTGAAAATTTGAGCCTGTTGATGAGATGTTGGACCACTATGACGGTTTTTTTTTTTACGTCACACTATCAGCGGGATTAGCTATATGTTATCAATTATCGCAAAGATGGAACCATTGCAAGATATGTCAAAAAGGTAAAAAGTATGACATAACCTTTATATACTATTCTCTGCGTTTTGTCGACAACTCATACAAAACTATTTGCCTTCGGCCTAAGAGTCCGACAAAACGCACGTTGTCCTCGAACCCAGACAATAAATGTATGATATTACCCTTGAGTTACTTTAATATAATATTGGTCACCAGATTCACAAAACAAAAAAAAAATCTTAAGCAAGCTTCATTATGGGGTGGGGGGACAATATGTGCAGCTTGGGTAGGCACTTACTGACGCGGGCGACAATATATACATGTAAAATTTTTCAGTCGGTGTAAAGACGAATAATCACCCTGTAGAAAAATGACTAGGGAAAAAAACCGAATATTTTGTAGAAAAAGGGTAGGTGTTCTACATGTATATCCTATATAAGAAAATGACCCCCGTTGAAAAATGTCCCGTATCCCAACAGATCTAGTGAGCTTTTCTGATCATGGCTCCTGGATGTAGGGTGGGACTACTACAGGCGAACAAATTTTTTCATAGGAATACATAGGAAAAATATTAAAATTCTTCTTCTCAAGAACAGCAAGGCGATCGTTAGTTATGTTTATACTGAAGCATCGTCAGGTAGCATAAATTCTAATTTGTTCAAATCATGACCCCCAATGTAGGATGGGGCCACATTGGCTAATCAAAGTTTTACATAATAATAAAAAGGATCAAGATGTGTTTGTGAAACACTGATGCCCCCATATGGCAACTTATAGCAGAGGTTAAACTTTCTCAAATGCAAATCAAATATGTTGGTACCCAAACCAAGGTCTTGTCTCGAGGAATATACCTGTGAAATATGAAAGCCCTAGCAGCAACCATTGAATAGATATGAAAAAGGTTAATTTTTTTCAAAAGTAAGTAAAAAATCAAGTCAAGGTCAAATGGTCAAAATTAATGGTGCCCAAGGAAAGGCCTTCTCACAAGAAATACACATGTAAAATATGATGGCCGTAGCACCAATCGTTCAAAAGTTATGGCCAAGGTTAAAGTTTTCTAAAAATAGGTCAAACTCCAAGGTCAAAGTCAATGGATTAAAATTGTTGGTATCCAAAGGAAGGTCTTGTCACAAAGATTAGACATCTTTAACAGGAAAGCCGTAGCAGCAACTGTTCAAAAGTTATGGCCAAGGTTAAAGTTCGGTAAAATTTTGCAAAACTGGGTCAAACTCCAAGGTCAAGGTCAAAAGGTCAAATATGATAGTACCCAAAGAAAGATCTTGTCACAAGGAATACACTTGTGAAATATGAAACCCATAGCTCCAACCAATCAAAAGTTATGAGCAATGTTAAAGTTTTTGCGGACACACAGATAAACAGACAGACGGACATACGGACGGATAGGACAAAAACTATATACCCCCGAATCTTTGATACGGGGGCATAAAAATTTTATAAAAGTCTTCTTCTTAGAACAGCAAAGCCATGATTATTCACGTATGAAAGCATCCTCAATTTAAAGTTTGTGCAAATCATGACACCTGAGGGTATAGTGGTGCTGAGGGTAGTTCCTAGTACATATGATAAATCAATTTATGTTCTAATTCGTTTCACTCAAAGGAACATAAATTATTTACAATAATAACAAGAACACGTGTCTAGTGGAAGAAGCGCTTGCTTGCCAGCATTATTGCACTATATTTTAATTTTTTTTCTTCATTTTTATGCCCCCGTATCGAAGGTTCGGGGGTCTATAGTTTTTGATCTGTCCGTCCGTCTGTCTGTCTGTTTGTCCGCAAATACTTTAACCTTGCCCATAATTTTTGATTGGTTGGAGCTATGACTTTCATATTTCACATGTGTGTTTCTTGTAACAAGTCCTTTCTTTGGGTACCATCATATTTGACCTTTTGACTTTGGCCCTGGAGTTTGACCCACTTTTGCAAATTTTATGAGACTTTAACCTTGGCCATAACTTTTGAACAGTTGATGCTTGGGCTTTCAAACTTCACATGTGTATTCCTTGTGACAAGACCTTTCTTTAGATACCAACAACTTTGACCCTTTGACCTTGACCTTGGAGTTTGACCTACTTTTGAAAAAACTTTATCTTAAGTCATAACTTTTGAATAGTTGGTGCTTGGGCTTTTATACTTCACATGTGTATTCCATGTGACAAGACCTTTCTTTGGATTTCAACAACTTTGACCTTTGACCTTGACCTAGGAGTTTGACCTACTTTTGAAAAACTATAACCTTGGCCATACCTTTTGAAAGGTTTGTGCTAGGGATTTCATACTTCACATGTGTATTTCACATGACAAGACAAGTTGGATAAAACAACTTTGATCTTTTGACCTTGACCTACTTTTGAAAAACTTTAGCCTAGGCCATATCTTTTGAATGGTTGGTGCTAGGGCTTTCATACTTCACATGTGTATTCCATGTGACAAGACCTTTCTTTGGATTTCAACAACTTTGACCTTTTGACCTTGACCTAGGAATTTGACATACTTTTGAAAAACTATAACCTTGGCCATACCTTTTGAAAGGTTGGTGCTAGGGATTTCATACTTCACATGTGTATCCCACATGACAAGACAAGTTGGATAAAACAACTTTGATCTTTTGACCTTGACCTACTTTTGAAAAACTTTAGCCTAGGCCATATCTTTTGATTGGTTGGTGCTAGGGCTTTCATACTTCACATGTGTATTCCATGTGACAAGACCTTCCTTTGGATACCAACCATTTTTCCCTTTGACGTTGACCTAGGAATTTGACCTACTTTTGAAAAACTTTAACCTTGGCCATAACTTTTGAATTGTTGGTGTTAGGGCTTTCATACTTCACATAATTATGTAATCCTTGGAACAACACCTTTCTTTGGATACCAACAACTTAAACCTTGATCTTGCAATTGGAGTTTGGTCTACTTTTGAAAAACTTTAACCTTTGCCATAACTTTTAAACATTTTGTGCTAGGGCTTTCATACTTCACATGTGAATTCCTTGTGACAAGACTTCCCTTTGGACACCAACAATTTTGGCACTGACCTTGACCTTAGAGTCTGACCTACTTTTAAAAACTTAAACTTTGGCCATAACATTTGAACGTTTGGTTCTACGGCTTTCACATTTCACGAACATGTGTATCACTTGTGACAAGACCTTCCCTTGGGGCCTCATTTGACCTTGCCTTTGTTGTTCTACTTACTTTTAAAAAAAAACTTTAACCTTCGCCATAACTTTTGAACAGTTGGTGCTAGGGCTTTCAAATTTCACAGGTATATTCTTCGAGACAAGACCTTTCTTTGGGTACCAATTAACATTTCTCTTGACCTGGAGATTGACTTGCATTTGAGAAACTTTAACCTTCGCCATATGCTGCCATACGGGGGCATCAGTGTTTCACAAACACATCTTGTTTTTAATTTGTTGTTGTAAGTTTATTCATTTTGTAATTGTAGAATCGTGATAACCTTATCAAATTTACAAAAATTTACGAGGGGCTATAGCTTTTACAAATACGAAATGTAATGCAATAGCACAGTGCCGTTGAAGCTCAGTCATATATTTGTTCT